CCCATTGGCTGAGCCCATAGTGAGTGAGTTAAATAAACATTTAATGTTCATAAAGTAACCATTATTGCTGTTATGTTTAGTTTTATGTTGAGTCTGTATTATCTTTTGTGTTAACAATAGCAGAATAGATAAAGGTCTTATGTGACATTTCAATTCTTCAGAAATCTGTCTCCTCGAGCCCATGAGTTTGGCAGATTCTCTTTACAATTTGCAGCTTGTGGAACAGTTCTGTAGGCAAAGCTTTCCTCATGACATCTACTTCCTCAGCCTTGAAGACGTGCTCTACATGCATTCTTCTATACGGCAGAATGTGCTGGCCTTCATATCCGATTTAATGTTCCTGTTTGAGATAAGACCTGTAAAAGGTGTTATTCGACCTGGAATCAGAGAGGAGCCAAAAATTCTGATAGAAGGTGGGTTTCAGAAAAATGTTACGCAACTAATTACTTATAACTTTCTGAATACAGTTTTATCCAGAAGAGAGAAAATTCATATATTGCTAAAATTAACCATCAAAAGGCCAATGTGCTTTTTTATAAAACCTTTTAAAGTATTGTTTTACCAGAGAACAACTTTTTTGACAGACTTATACATGTAAAAAAAAGATTTGAAACACCCCCTGTATGATGTCACTACTCTAATTGTGTGCTTTTAAATAAATAATAAAAGTGAAGCTTAATTCCAAGTACTATTATGTAAACCACTGAAACAGTGACTTGTTTTTCAAATTTTTTAATTATTAACTTAAATAGTAATGTTTACAATTAAAAAAAGGAATAAGTAGGTAAACAGTACTAAAATATGAAGTACAGTCTTTTAATATTAAAACATTAATGATCAACAATCTTATCTGGTAGTAACTTCCCTTATCCCACAGACATTGTGTGGGGTTTTTCATGGTTTAGCTGGAAACTTTCCACAGGCAAAATGCGTGCAATTCACAAATGTATCTTGCTGCAGATGAAACTAATTTCTCTCACTGTGGACATATGTGCAATAAATCAATCAGTTTAACCAATAAAGACACAATTGTATTGTATTTGCTGTGTTTCCTTTTGTGTAATCATGAATAAAATGTAGAATAAGGCCTGATTCATAAATGTAACTAACTTCTGTCACTGTGGATGTATTTTCACTAAGTCTGGCTTTATAACATTAAAACCACAATCATCAGGTGTCTACTGTGTTTTCATTTGTGCAATTACAAAAAAAAGTACAATAATTCCTGATTCAGTGAGAAAAACTAATTTCTGTCACTGCAGATGTACATTCAGCAAATCAAGCCGTGTAACCACCAAAACCACGATCTTAAACAAAACATAGGATAATTCCTGATTCAGTGAGAAAAAC